TTTCGATATATCGCATCAGGCGTTTACATATATATAAGGTGATCATAATACGGATGTCTGATTGGTCGATTAGAGCTCAGTTAGTAACGATGACAGAGGCGAGCAAACAGATTAAAAGAATATGACAAGACTAATGATAGTCGTGGGTGGGGGTGAGAACACAAAGGTCAAATAGACAAACGTTCGAGAGATGAGCAGATTAAATGAAGGTTGTGAGCTAAGACGAGAGAGCGCGATAAAGTTACGTAATATACGGTAGAAACTATAGGTCATGCATAGCAAGTGATGTAATCAGGAAGGAACATTAGAAACAAAAACAAGGTAATTCGTTCTTAAGATTGGGAATAGTGATACTATAGGCGAGGAAAGGACGGGGACGGGGGGGGGCGGTTAATGTTCTGTTTTATGCACAATCAATCCGCTGTCCAGGCCAGGGCAACAACAGTGTCTGGACCAGCTTTTTTTGCTTACATAATTCTGGATTGAAAATTCGAATTGCAATTGCCTCGGCCGTGGTTAAAAGCCGCCTTCTTTTCCCTTTGGAATATCTCCGGGGTATAGTGTGAATAGTATAGAGTGCATCGAATTAGTTCACAGAATGCCTGCTATCGACGAGATGACCGAGAACCGAGCTGCGAATAGATCTAACCGTTCCTTTGTAGAGGGCCGCGGGATAGTGTTCAGTAATCCGTTTTGATAATCGCCTGGTCGTATGTCCAATGTATCACACGCTACAAGTGCACGTGAAAAGATATAGAACGAAAGATTTAGACCGAAAAGGCAACTTATCATTAATTTGCTGGGATACCAAAGGCCGAGTGGTAGTGAGGAACTACGGTTGAGCTGCAGGGTACGTTCTAGAGATCGCTTTTGACAAACGTCCTTGGCATCGTCGCCCTTAAACGGCACAGTAAGAAAAACGTTCTTGTGAGGAACGGTGGGGATTTTGCTCGGGTTGGTCTTCAAACTTATATGTTTACGAGTAAAAGCTTCCAGGTAACCATTTGACCGGAGTACGTCATGCATAAAACGTATCTCGGACTGCAGTGTATCCTCGCTACAAATCGCACGCGCTCGGTATGATAAACATCTGACCAGGTTGCGTTTATATTTCAGGTTTTTTTCAACGGATTTACTTGAAGTTACGGTGGATTCACTTGAAGTTACAACGGATTCACTTGAAGTTGAAAAGGTATAGCAAAGCTAGAACCATAGTGATTTGTACGGTAGTTCCTGACATTGAGGTGTATTGCCAGCACGACGGTGCGCTTTTACATAGTGTGATAGCTTGTGTGCATCTATCACCATGCGAGATACTGCCCACCCAAGCTGAGTAGGTCAGTTGCAAGCTTTTCTGGGTAGTTTGAGTGCTAATGTAGCCGTTTTCGATATGCGTTTTGCACCTTCTAGGTGTAAAATGCTGTCACAAGATTGGGTTGGTCCAGTCCCCAACCTCATCCTGACTGGAGAAGTAGTAGAGTTTTGCTATCTGGGTAGCTATATCTCACCTGGCGGGCGCATCACGGATGAAATGTCTCAGTTGGCATTTGTCAATTGGACATATCTGTGGCGACGCCGCGACATTTGGCTGTCCTTAAAAGGTGGAGTATATGCTGCAGCAGCCCGGCCAGTCTTGCTGTACAGTGCAGCTACTTGACCATTGCGAAATATGCTATAGATTGACTATGGGGTTTCGGACACCATTGTCTACACCGCATCGCACGAGTCCGGACAAGGAATGCTAATGCTAGGCGCAGTTTTAGGCAGTCGAGGTAGTCCTTTGGAGGCGTACGAACCGCACACACCTTCCCGGTTGTGGCAGTGGTCACCTTCTCGATTGGGTATCGAGGTTTATGCAGCACCTTGGACGTTCGACCCAGTCCGAAAGGTGTATGATCCGATAAACTGGACACCGACCCCCAATGGATTGCAGTTTTCACACACCATCCCGCCTCCTTGTTGGTCAGGCTTTGGCTAGCCGAAGGCTCCAGTTTTGCACTCCGAGAAAATTCACCTGCCTTGGCCTGGGCAACCTGGCAGTATTCCGTTCACAAGCAAATCATCGAACGTTCTTGTTTTTTATAAAGATAATTGTACCATGATTTGTTTGGCACACAGTCTGGCCTCAGAATTATGAAATATAAATATAATAAATTGGAGCAAGTGGTGGGACAAGAGTTGTGGGTGTAAAAATTAGACTTACGCGGTGTGCGATGTTTATCGAGGCAGGTAGGGAGTGAAAGAAGGTTAATAGCCATCAAACTACAATCGAGCATGCGGGTATGGAAACCTAAACCAGGAGACCCGGATTTGTAGGTAGTGTTAGACTACCGGTTAGGGACCTTGGGATCACAGTAATCGACGGTTAGTCACTAAGTGATATGACTGAGTGTCGAAAATAGTAGCGCTTGTGCATTTTTTCAATATCTCTACAACCTTTGGCTACCTGAATTCGTTGTCCTTAAATTGGAAATACTTCCAACCCTCCCTCAACTCCCTTATCTCAGTGGGTAATCAAAAGACAGCAATCAAAACTACCACACGAAAGTGAGTGATTTTTGACTGCATAAACTAAACTGAAACTGTAAAAAAAACAGGAGATCGTCTAATTCGAAAAAGTAAAATGGGAACTCAAGTGTTTCGGAAATGGTTCCATCAAAATTTCGTTGTGATTAACGTAGGTGAATTTCATTTTTTGCGATACCTCTGGAAATTAATGCATGTGGATCACTGCTTGCGGGTTTAGGAACTGGACGTTTAACTTACAGAATTGTAGTTTTGGAAATCAATTCTCGTTTCTTCCCATCCAGATTGGCGGCCTTAAAGTTTCCTTTTTTTCTGACATTTTACAGGTGTTCACCTCAAAACCATGTCGGCTAAAGACGTTGGAATTCACGCTATCGAGGTGTACTTTCCTCGGTTTTGTGTAAAACAAACTGACATGGAACTTTCCGATGGCTGTACCGGTAAATATACCAAAGGACTTGGACAGGAAGTGCTTGGCGTATGTGCTGTGGAAGAAGATATAAGCTCGATTGCGCTAACGGTGGTTTCACAACTTATTCGGCGTATGAATTTGGATTTGAAAACGGTGGGATTCCTGGAGGTGAGTGCTTCTCATACGCTACAGTTACTGGAAGTGTCCAGAATATGATACATTTATTATGTACTACGGCTTTTCACAGAAAAGAATGAATAAGTTTCATATTATTTCAGTACAAAAACGTCCCCAACATCACTTGTCTTTTTTGAGGGTGCACCCCTTGTGAACAGCTAAGTGCGAACTGCATGATTATTTGTGGGTGTTACACTGCTACGTTACCTAAATCAAAGCAAGTGATTATCTTAGTGATTCTCGCTCGAATCCTTCATCTAACCAAAGCCCGGCTTGCATGCCTACGGGTATTTGAAAAGCCCACTTCATTGAATGGTTTTGAGTTGCGGTAGTGCGGTAGTACTGGACCTTGCAAGGTTATTACTCCCCATCTCGAAGAGAGTTGGAGGGAGCTCATCCGGTTCTGCTGCCCTTCCTCGCTTCAGAGCTGGAATGCAAGACCGAACCTCCGCTTTTGCTGGAAAATGAGAGATATTAGCCAAACTCGATGCCAGCTATCACGAAGTTGCTGCAACTCGACATAGTGCCCGTCTGTGACAAGCGAAGGACAGAAGTTAACTCTTCATGAAAAAGCTCTTATCCTGTCTGAGAAGACTGGAGGATAGAAACAAAGTCCAGCATCCTGGTCCTCGAAGTTGGGGATTCCATTTGAGTTCACCTGTTGTTCAAGAAATGATGTAGGATTTCAGTTGAGCCTTACCTTTGCCCCACTCGCCACCCTGCGGTTAAGATTTTGTCGGAACCGGGTTCTTTGGTTAAAAACCTTGATAGTTTTCCTACTTAGTGATCAAACTGTCCAACAGTACCCGACCATCACACTGACCGGTTTCGTTAAATCAGTTTTCAGCAATACCTATTGAATACGCAACAGCGANCAACAGCGAGCCTACTCTCATATCTGTCTGCATCGTTGTAGTGATCGATGCCCCGGCCCCCAATTTGGCCGCATATGCAGCTCCCGGGTTGATCCACCCACTCGCTAGTCTCTTGCATCTTTCATTGTGTCAGTTCTCTAACATGTCATCAGTCTTGGAGGTGTTAATGTGGTCATTTGTCTGCGATGCTTTTACCCGAGCAGTATATGCCCACTTTCATCTGGATGCTGTGATGTCCACTCGGCTTTGGTGCTGCGTTGTCTCGCCACTGTTTTTCATCCGTTCCAGGTCGGATCGGAAACACTGATCGACAAATCAAAATCGACGAAGTCCGTTCTGATGGAACTGTTTGAGGCCAGCGGGAACTTTGATGTGGAAGGCGTGGACGTGAAGAATGCGTGTTTTGGTGGCACTGCCGCTTTGTTTCACGCGATCAATTGGCTTGAGTCTAGTTCGTGGGACGGTATGTCGTTAGATGAACATCTGCCGTTTTTAATTTTCAAAATTCCAAATTCTTTAGTTGTTAGCTGTTTGAGTTAATTCATTTGTGAAACTTGTTGACCAATACCGTTATCTAGTAGTCCAGCAAATCAAGAGATGGAACTAGAGTGTTTGTTTCGACCGATTAAGAAGCACTATTTATATTCGTTTATTTATCTGAGCTTGCTACTTGCTATCGAGGGTTCCTCAATGAGGATGAAATTAACGATTGGAAAGAGGACTAACCCAGAAAAAACTCGAGATTAGTAAAATCGATGCCTCCAATGAGGACGGAAGTTATACGCACATCTCGACCAAATCATGTAGTCAAGCTTAAGTGCGTCCATAGCTAGATCTTATAGCTGCTTCTCAATGGAGTCACGTGCCAAGAAACGATTTGTAGACGCTTTTACAATAGTTTACAATGAATTCTATTTCGCCTGTTCGCCGAGGTTGGCAATTTGTTTGCAAACGTTTCATCACCAGCCGAGGTGACATCATCAGTGCTTGTGAAGCACTGGTGATGAAATGTTTGCAAACAAATTGCCAACCTCGGCGAACAGGCGAAATAGAATTCAGTTCACCCGAGTTACGACAACCGATTTTCAATACTTTGTCAACAGTTGACAACGAGTAATGGATGAATGTTTCTTCCTAGTTGAGACTCGTTACTGCATGGGGGTTGGCGAACCACAGTTAGTGAAACAATCTGCGACAAAGCGTTAAAACTATTCACAGTAAGGAACAATGGCTCGATCGCTGAGCGAACTACTTCGCCGAACAGTTTAGATGGTCTGGCGCTAGCCAGATCACCCTCGTCTGCAACCGAAGCTTCGTGAGTAGTGTCATGCGATTCAAGCTCTGAAGTGAGGAAAGGCAACAGGACCGTACGGGCTTCCTCCTATTCTTTTCCAGATAGGAGAGTGGGTTGCTTGATAACCTCGTAAATTATATTACTGACTTCAACAACATCTTATAGCAAGTGTGCATTCAGTCATCCTGGGGCGAAGCATTGATCGTTCCAGTTTTCAAGAAGGATATCACAGTAACTGCGCCAAGCACCACTGGATAATTTTGATCGCAGTCGTCACCAAAGTGTTAGTCTCCGTCATACTTCGACGTCTGGTGCCCTTCAGGGAGACAAATATCCGTTAAAAATAAGCAGGATTCTGACCAGGTTGCTTCTTCGAAAAGGAAATGCTCCAGAAGTACGTCAACTTACTGAGGTCACTTTATTAACATGCCTGTGGTCGAGTAAGGAAGGGTCTTTCACGAGCGAAGTAAACCGTTTGTCACCAGCAGTGGCATCCGTGAAGGTTGCCCTATTTCGTCATTCCTGTTCCATTTCTTCGTAGGCGAAATACTGATGGATGCATCAAGGGGTTTCCCAAGTGTTGGCATTAAATGGGCAGCCCGAGAAAGGCTGTACGATTTAGACTACGCTGACGACATCGTTTGCTTGTGCGAATTTATGGAAGATGCGCAAGGCGCTCTTGATAGGTTTCAGGTGCTGTAACTCCATTTGGTATGCTATTTGTACCTGCAAAGCGCAAAGTGATATTACATGTCTGGGTATCCTCTACTCCGGCCCTGATGCTTGATGATCAAGAGTTAGTTATTGTGAATTGTTTCTC